GAACACTCTACAAGCCTCCTAAAGGCTATTTATGCCTCTTTTTTTTTGAAAAAGAAAGAAAGAAAAAGAAACGGGTCATTTTTGGGAGGTCTGCAGAGTGCAAAAACTTTTTTTTAAAAATTGCCTCTTCAAAATCCTGGTGCGTCTTATACTCCAAAAATATGGTAGGTGTCAGGATCAAGGGAAGAGGCAGAATTGACATCCAGGAATTGGGTGCAGGAGTTTAGCTGAAGGAAAATATGAGCCTTTTCTAATTCTAAAATGTGGTATTTATGATGCTATCTGCAGTGCTTTTGTCTTGAAGCAGTTTAGCCTTCAAAATATTTGGAGTAACTCTAGTATAGTCTTGCCAAGCAGAGATTTTGGTGTCTCAGTTGAATTGAGGGAAATCAATCCTGTTATTTGGACAATTCTCTTAATTTATTTCTTTTATGTTTTCAGGATGCACAATCTTTACATGGTGATATTCCACAAAAGCAGAGAGAGGTCACTTTGAAAGGCTTCCGTAATGGAGCGTTTGGAGTACTGGTTGCAACTAACGTGGCTGCCCGCGGCTTAGATATTCCAGAAGTTGATCTGGTGATACAGAGTTCCCCACCAAAGGTAAAATAACTGGTTTGGGCAGAGGGAAAAGTTATTTGTACCAAAAGGTGCTGTTGCTTAGTTAAAGTGACACCAAAAAAATTGTTAAAGCTTGCTGCAAAGAGGACTTGGGATCCTCATTTAAGTTGCTTTGCCTTTTCTGCTGGAAAACAGTTGAAGTGAGAAAGTCGGGAAATTATTTTTATTTCTTCAAAAATAGAACTTTATTCTGTCTCTTAGACTGCTAGCTAAAATTTGCTATACTGTCTTATCAGGACATTGGGGTGTGAGGATGGGCCAGATTCCAACTGTTTTTACAAGGATTCCAAAGCAGCTATTTATTCCAGGCACATCCATGAATACTTTGTAATTCTTCATGAATTCTACCTATATCATCTTGCTGTTCATGTAGATTTTTTTAAGCTATTAATTTTAACATTCTTAACATGAATTCTCACTTAAATGTCACACAATGGTGACATAACATATTTTTCGGAGTATATGACACACTGGAGTATAAGACGCCCCAGGTTTTTGAAGAGGCAAATTTTAAAAAGTTTTTGCACTCTGCAGACCTCCCAAAAATGGCCTGGTTTTTTTGCGAAAACTGACCCATTTTTTGTCAAATAAAGGGCATGAATAGCTTTTAGGAGGCTTATAGAGTGCTCCTGGGGGTGGGGCAAAAATGAGCAAAAAACAGCCAATTTGTAGCTCATTTTTCCCCCTCCCCCCAGCAGCACTCTGGAAGCCTCCTAAAAGCTATACACTGCCATTTTTGAAAGGGGGGGGGATTTTGGGAGGCCAAAAATGCTGTATTCAATGTATAAGATGCACCCAGATTTTCCCCTCTTTTTGGAGGGAAAAAGGTGCTTCTTATACTTTGAAAAATATGGTAAATAATTTCCTGTTGTGGCAATTCCTAGTTTGCTCAAATATAGCTTCGTTTCAGCTTTCTGCTTTCATTAATAGTGTATTTTAAAAGAGTATAGCATTCTGTATATTTGTAAGTGAAATGTTGGCTTTTCTGCAACATGCATATCATTTGAATGTTTCTTCGTAAAGGATGTAGAATCTTACATTCATCGCTCTGGACGCACAGGCCGAGCTGGACGGACTGGGATCTGTATCTGTTTCTATCAGCGCAGGGAAGATTATCAGCTGAAACTTGTAGAACAAAAAGCGGTAATTATATCTAAATTTCTTAGTGGATGTTTTGACATCTCTTACGTTGTAATTTTTTAAAAGCCGTATAAATTTTTAAAGTGCTTTTTACCACTTCAACTAAAGTGTTTAGGACTAGTTTTCTGACTAACTTTTGTCAGTGAAACAGTGTGCCTTCTATTTTCAGGGCATTACATTTAAACGTGTAGGTGTTCCTACAGCAACAGACATAATTAAAGCTTCCAGCAAAGATGCAATCAGGTACGTTAATCCTAAACGTTAAGTAAAAATTAGTATCTGAAATGAGATAAACAGCTTTATGACAGAAGCCTTTTTATTTTCATGTGTGATGTATGTTGCTACCACTGTACATTAGTTTCTGTTTGAACATAAATGGTTCATTGATCATTTTAGTGGTTTTGTAAATACTGATTCTTAAATTTTTTCATTCAGATCTTTGGATTCTGTTCCTCCATCTGCCATTGACTACTTCAGACAATCTGCTGAACAGCTAATAGAAGAAAAGGGGGCCGTGGAAGCTCTGGCTGCAGCCCTGGCTCATATCTCAGGAGCTACCTCTCTTGAACAGCGCTCTTTGCTCAACTCTGATGCGGTAATAAAATAGTTACTTACACACATCCTGATTTTTCCAATGCAATATGTGTAACCTGAGGACTCATTTAAAATTTATGCATTATGCATATGTTTTCAAAGAGGCCTTTACAAGTACAGCTTTCAATCACAATTAAGAAAATAGAAACAATTTCTCCTTTGACTGGCCAATCTTCCTGGGTATGGAAGCTTAATTAGTACATGGATGGGTACTAAGGAGACCCTGATGGCAATTGTCAGGATACTACCAGGGCATGGATTATTCTAATCCAGGGGTGTCAAACTCAAGGCCTGGGGACTAGATGCGTCACGTGGGTACTTAGATCCAGCCTGCAGGGCCGCCCTGGAAACAGCAAAGGACTGGCCTGCAGTACTTCTGTCAGTGAAAATGGAGCTTGGGAGCCCATTTTCACTGGCAGAGCGCTCAGGCCACCACAGGCGCTCCCGATATGAGTGATGTCAAGCTGGCCACGCTCATCCTGGTCCCCTCAGGGTCAAACACAACCCTGATGTGGCCCTTAATGAAATTGAGTTTGACACCCCCATTCTAATCTATCCAAGTATAACTGTAGCTAGTAAATTGGTGTAGAGTCATAAAAAATATTGTGTCTCCAAAGTTAATATTCCTGGAATTATTTAATATTTCCTACAATTAAGGTGTTTGAATACATTTAGTCATTACAGGGTAAGAAATTCAAATGTAAGCTTATCTGTCATGTAAACTTGACAGTGAAATTACCCTTATATTTTAAAAAAATCAGAAAAAAATGTTTCCTTTGCAAAACATGGGGTAAAATAAGATAGGTAATCAGGTATTAATGATACTTTAAAAACTTTTTAAAAACTAAAAGGAATATGCCAATACAACTGAATGGCAATATGTTCAGTTAAAACTTGCTATGTTTCCTGTTTGGTCCAAATGCCCTATTTGCCTCTAAAATCCGTGATTTTGAATATATTTCAAAGATATTTTAAGAAATTATAAAAATAAATATTATTGTATAAGAAATTGACAGTTAAGAATTGGGAGTTTCCTATATTACAAATTAATGGCTTCAGTCTCAAGAAGTATTAAATGTGTTTCGCGAAGTGAAACCAGTGCAAATTAAAAATAATTGACTATTATCTTTATGCTGTTGATGAACACATTCAGAGATATCCGTGCTTCGGTACGAAACTATGTGACCGGGCTTGATAAATTGACACGTAAAGCCCGCAGGCCAGATGAGTCACACACTGGCCACACCCATGCCCGGTTTAGCTAATATAATACTGTATAAGGAATACTGATGATCTGATGGTCATTTTGACAAATCCTTTCTTAGCAAGCACCTAGAAGCCAAGAGGAACATAGGTGCCAAATTTCAAGTTTGTAGGCTTTACAGTTCTGGAGATTTCATGATGAGTGAGTGGTAGTTGGCTTTTATATAGAGAGGTGATTGGACAACCATTTGACTGGGATGGTATTGGGGCTTCTGTCTTGAGCAGAGGGGGTGGACTCCGAAGTCCCTTCCAGCCCTATGTTTCTACTGTATACTATATTCTATGTATTTCCCTTTTTGATTGGTTATTATGTTGCCCGCTGGGCTGCTGTTACCCATTTTTCAGTTGTTCACACTCTGCTCACTGAAAAAAATGTTTAGCAGATATCTCAGCATTCTTTAATCAATACTAGTAATAGCGTTAGCAATTTGTGTGTTTGTGTATGCACTAATAATTACACTTTATTATAAATTTATATCACTATTTTTTTTAAACAAAGGGTTTTGTGACCATGATACTTCAGTGCTCGGTTGAAATGCATGCTGCTGGTTATGCTTGGCGGGGTCTGAAAGAACAATTGGGTGAGGACATTGACAGCAAAATATCCAGACTGTGTTTTCTCAAAGGAAAAATGGTAAGAAACGTTTTTTTCCTGCCTATTTGGTTTATAGGCGTTACTTGAAAATTTTCTTCTAGTAATTGCTTTCTTTACTGCCTACTCTGGTAATGAGTGAAGCTTAAGTCAGGCATATGGTGTTGATAAGATATTGGGGAAGATTTTATCCAGAAGAGAGTTTTGGACTTAGAAGAAACCCAGACTAGAATGGTTGTTTATATTTTATGAATAAATTACAATTCAGAATTCCTGTGTGGGTCAACTATTATAACTAGGACAGTAGATTAAAGACAGGTGTTCTTGACTAATCTGTTGCTTGTATATTAATGCAAGTATCCTGCTCCTTAAAGAGTTTTGAATTTCTTCAATGACTGATATTCTGTCTCTTTCTTGTGTTAAGGGCGTATGTTTTGATATTCCAAAAGCTGAATTAAATAAAATAAAGGTAAGATTTTACTTTCCAATGTGAATCGGCCTTGAGTAGCTCATGCCATTGGATGCTCTTCAGCTGTCATTTATACTCAGATGATCTTAAATATATTTACTTGTATGCTTGTTTCACAGTCCACTGTTACCAGAGACTTCATAAAGTGTCAGAGTGAACTTAAAATATGTACAGGTAGTCCAGTGGTGGGTTGCAGGCAGTACGCCCCAGTACGGGAGTACTGGAGCCTGCCCAGAGCACCAGATACCGTTCTGGTACGGTGCTCCGGAGAGCTGACCCGCCCGCATGAGCCTCTTTTAAGGCTTACGCTCATGGCGCGTACAATGCCTGTTTGACACTCTGCTGAGCAGCTGGAGTATCGCAGAGGCGGTAAGACACATGCGTTCACTGTGTGCACACGCACTGCATACATCTATGTGGACGCCGCCGGGCCTGTTCCAACCGTACCGGAATCCGGTATGGATCTGTAACGCACCACTGAGGTAGTCCCTGTTTAACAGCCCTAATTGGACCCAGAATTTTCACTGCTAAGCCATGCCATCGTTAGGCGAAACACCATGTGACCACACCATTTTGCAATGGCAGTTTTCATGGTGCTGGTTGCATTCATTAAGCTTCATGCTTCTCCTGATCTGCTGCACTTGCCTCTGATTCATGTCAAATCAAATCTTAATTACAGTCAAAGATTTAAAATGTAGAGATTTAGCCTTAAGGCTGTTTGAGCCAGGCAGTCCTGCAAAGTTTGCTTTCTGACATTTGAGCAATGGATGGGAAGGAATCCATTGGCTCCAGAGTTGGGAGAGGAAATTTGTGCTGTGCATAGAGGATGTATTTTTTGGGACCCAAATCTAGCATTGAAGTCCTCTCCCAGGTCTGCAAATTTGGATTCAGCAATGCTGTATAAACTCAGCAGCATAAGTGTCTAGTTCAGCCTATGAGAATCTGATCTGGGTTTTTTGCCTAATTGAGGGCATATAAGTATTTGTTATCAATAGGACTATTGTCATTTAATTGAATTAACGCTGCTGTGGCATATAATATTAATGGGAAGAAGTGGTTTGATATGGCATGTAGAGTAGTGGAGACTAGGACCCCCAATTGGGGCAGACTAGTTCTGCCCAATTGAAAATGAATGAAATCCATTAAGTAGCAGTTTGCCAGCTGTGTCATGTTTCCTAAATTACAGTGATGTCATGGCATAAGTACCTCCACTTCAATTCCCCCCACCCACATATCTCCCCTCTTCCTGCTCATTTAACCACTCACTCTACACTGTGTCCTGTACCCCCAGTGCCCTGCACTTTAGTGCCTCTCTTGTCTTCCACCTGCCCCCAGACCTTCCATCTGACCTTTGCCATCTTCTTCCTCCCACAGCTGATGAGTCACACATGGCCTGGTCCTTCATGAGGCAGTTGCTGTCCATGCAATGCCTTCCCAAGCCTGTATGAAATTCCTCTTATCACTTTAGGGATGAAGTTTTATCCACATAGTTTAAAACTTTGTTGTATTTTTTCTAGACACCTGAATAGGAGATAGAGTAAACTGAAATGTTAGTTGCTCTACACCAGGGTTGTCAAACTGGATTTCTTTGAGGACCAGATCAGCAGTGTAGTTCTCATGCGGGGGGAGGGGGGCCTCCGGCAGTACCTTGCTGGCCAAAACAGGATATAGGGGGTACCTGTGCCCCCACCCACGCCTTATTTTGGCTACTAGAGGCACCACGGTCCAGTCCTTCACCATTTCCAAGCCAACCCCACAGGCCAGTTTTAACCACCCTGTGGGCTGGATCCAGCCCGTGGGCCTTGAGTTTGATACCCCTGATCTACACTGTAAGCATAGGCATGCATTGGAGGAGCAAGGAGCAAATGATGAAAACTTCATGATGACATCATAATGCACATTTTGTCACTGATGAATCCTCTGAAACTATTTTGGAGAATCTCATGATCTCAAACTTAGGCTAAGGATGTGCTGTTGGTGATTGTACATCCTTTTTTAAAAAATGGATTGTTTCTTATTCAAGGGTTAAATGTTGCCTTTTCCTATTCTTATTTTATAAGAGTGCTTCAGACCTATAAAGCATCCTTCATTTACACTTTTTACACTGTTTTCTCAGTATTATGTTACCAAGTACCAATACCAAGTTTTGAAATCCCCTGAAAACATTGTTCCGAAAGAAAGCAAAAGACCTTGAATTCAGGTGCAAAAAGTACTGTACTTTTCGGAGTATAAGATGCACCTTCTCCCCCCCCCCCCTCCGTAGCACTTTACAGGCCTCTCAAACTCTGCATGTCTGTTTTTCACAAAAATGAGGCGTGCAGAGGGTTTGGGAGGCCTTCAGAGTGCAAAAACTTTTTTAATTTACTTCTTCAAAATCTTGGTGCGTCTTATACTCCAAAAAATACAGTAGTTTGTGATAATTCATGTGTCTCTCTTTGGTGAAGCTTAAAACATTTTTTATTACTTTCTGTTTAGTAGTCATGTTGGTCAGCATGCAAGTTTGTCAGTTCTGCTCTTCTTATAAAATAATGTTTTTTTTTTAAATTAGGAAACCTGGCAAGATACAAGACGCTGGCAACTTTCTGTAGCAACAGAATTGCCTGAGCTTGAAAATTCACCACGGGAGGGAGGCAGAAATGGAGGCTCGGATTTCAGGAATGGAAGACGAAATGGTGGTTTTAACAGGCCTGATCGATTTAGAAATAGGGGCCAAAAACGGAGCTACAACCAAGCTTTTTGATAACTTGTTAATATGTCAAAATGGGACTCGAACCTTGTTTTACTATAAGTAAAATTAATTTACACTTTATTTATTAGCCTGGATGTGTCTCGTTCATTCAATTTGGGCTGCAAAAGTTCAGATTGACAAGATTATTTAAGCACAAGGACTGCTACCCTGCCACAATTAGTTGCAGTGCCCCAATATCTTGGGCTCAAGTAAATTTCTAGCCTTTGGAGGTTGGTAGCACATTAGAAATGTTGAGAATATGTTGTGGATGCTCCCTATGACTTCCCCCCCTCCCCCATTCTCTGTATTATTTACTTTTTCCAGATCATTAAGGATTTCTAAACCTTATTGAAACCATGATCTACACAGTCATCCATTCTTCTTGCTTTTTAAGAAAGCTTTTGCGGATCAGTTCATATCAAATTTCAAATTCTTGAAATTGAGATTTGTTCATTCAGTTGGCTTCCCTTTTTTAAAAATACTGCTATTTAGTTAAATCAAAGCCACGAGTTTGGAAAGTGGTTAGATGTTAAATGAATTAACTTAAAGGGCATATGTGACAGAAATAAGACAGAAATAAGCAACTGAATATCATTCTAAAAACATTTTCCTATGTATCTGGAAAAGTGCATTCGATGATTTTATATTTTTTTTGCATATGCCCTAACATGGAGGAAGGAGACAATCCGCATTCAACTTAAATTGAAATTGCAGAATTTGAAATTGTATTATTGTTTTATTTTTTCTAGAATACATTCCTTTACTGGTATAAGTAAACATCGACTATTTTATTGAAAAGATGTTACTTGACTTTTTTCAGGTGATATTTAAAGAATTAAATAGAATTTGTCTTTTTATTTGGAAATCATGCAGATGTCTTTCTGATACACTGTGTATAGCATGCTGCTCAGAGATGCCAATCCCTGGTTCAAACGATGCCTCTCAAAAGTTTTTGATAATAGAAGACAGATCATTATTTAAAAAAACTCAGGAAGCACTGGTCTAATTAAAATTCCCTTCATGTAAATGGTTGGATGAAAGCAGTGGTGGAATTCAGCCAGTGCGCTCCTATTCGGAAGAACTGGTTGTTAACTTTCTAAGCAGTTCAGAGAACCAGTTGTTGGAAGAAATCTCATTTTCTTTTTTTCCACTTTACACAGCTAATCCTGTAAGGAAGGCAGGAAGGAAATATTCAGGTGTTGTTTCTAGCCTAATCTTTATTGCCCTGCTTACAGAAACTGCCTCTGGTTAACCCTTATTACATTGTAACAGCTAAGGCGAAGCACCCATCGACCTGAGTGACATTGAGTTGGTCACGGTCACATGACCACCAAGCCACACCCTACCCAGCTGGTCATTAGGGCAGAGAACCGGTTGTTAAATTATTTGAATCCCATCACTGGATGAAAGTAGATTTGATTAATTCCCTGGGTGATTTGCTTAAAGAAGTTAGAATTTTTTAAATACTGTGCATAGTGTAGGAACTATGCACAGGGGGAATTCCCCATGTAACAGATTTGGAGTTAAAGTGCTTGCAAGCTCTATGTATGTCTACTACGGTATTCAAACTTGTGGGCACAATTTTTCTAGTTACTGAGCTGTTGAGGTTTAATTTAAGAACAAACTAGATCTTACGAGCCTGGAGTTGACTTGTTTTATAGAAGAAAGATTTTAATGTTAATCCCTTGAAATCATAAATTGTTGTCTTGATCGTTTTCTGCCCCTTCAGATTGTTTTACAAAGCTTTAGAAAAAATAGAAGAAAAAAACTGCAGCGCAGAGAAAATGTCAGCACGCAGATGCACTTCTGGGGCTTCCGTGTTTTACACTTCCTGATCTCCCATGCGGGACAAGTAGAAACGGAGCTCCTAGCACTTTTTTAAAGTCAGGGTCGATGACCTTTACGACCTGTGGACTCCAACTCTCAGAATTCTCAGGGCTATGAAAAGAATTGGGGCTGAAGCCAAAAGAAAAGGGGGGGGGGGAGATAAGAAACATTCTATCAGAATGTTCAAATGCACAACATTCCACTTGTAACAGCTGAATTTCTTTGCTCTTTTTTTGCTGTTCCATTCCCCCTCCCTCAAATCTCATTATGTCTATAGGAACCATCAGGGTCGCAATGGGTTAGATACAATTTTGTGACTAACAACAACAGCAGCAGAGATGGAACTAAAATTATAATAAACTACCGTATTTACTATTAGAAAACCAAAAACATGCTAAGTTTCATATAGTGCTTAGGAATCCACTTATCAATCCTTTTAAAGAAAAATGCTAAATGTTCCAAGTGGCCGAGGAGTGTATGTAATATTTAAAGAGCACCGTTCTATTGGGAAACTTAACATGGCTTTGAGTGAGGGAAAAGTTGGATAATTTCAAAAATGAATTTAATTTTAAAATAATGAAAAGTGAAAATGGGGGGATTCTGTGCTGTTTATTTTCTTTGTAGAATTATAGTTCCCAAGGTTCTTCAGCTAGAGGTCGAAGTGATTTGTAAACTACAGGTATGTGGAACTAGGCTGCATTAAGAAAAAGGTAGAATCAAGATCATGTGAAGTGTTAATGCCGCTTTATAATGCCTTGGCAAGACCATACTTGCAATACTGCATCTAATTTTGGTCACAATATAAAAAAAGATGCTGAGATGCTGGAAAGAGTGCAGAGAAGAGCAACAAAGATGATTAGGGGGCGGGAGGCTAAAATATAAAGAACAGTTGCAGGAATTGGGCATATCTAGTCTAGTGAAATGGACAAGGGGTGGTTTTATAGCAATCCAATATTTGAAAGAAGGGTCAACCTATTTTTCAAAACAGTAGAAGGCAAAACAAGAAGAAATGGACGGAAACTAATTAAGGAGAGAAGCAACCTAGAACTAAGGAGAAATTTCCTGACAGAATTAATCAGTGGAACCATTTGCCTTCAAAAGTTCAAAAAGGTTTTTAAGAAGAGACTGGACAGCCACTTGTTTGAAATGGCATTGGCTTTTTGCTTGAGCAGGGGGTTGGACTAGAAGATCTCCAAGGTCCCTTGTTATGTACTGTAAGTGGAAGCTAACTTGAAAAAAAGCTAATCAGAGTCTGAGCAGGTTAATCCCTGGATGGGAGACCCCCCCAAAATGCTACAGCTATAATTTAGTGGGGAAGTCAAGAAGAACACGGAATAAAGCAATGGCAAAACCCTTCTCCATTTTGGTGTCAGAAAAACTACATGCTAGGCCATGTCCCGGGATCCGAGAGGACTGGAGGGAGCTGGGCAACCTTAGATCAGAGGTGTCCAACCTTGACATAAGTATAATCTTTGTCATTGTACTTAAATACAACGAAATTGGTTACACATGGCTGTGAAAGGAAGCCATTAGGAAGGCTGAGCCCCAAAGAATGGAGCCCTTTGAACTATGGTGCTGGAGAAGACTCATGTGAGTCCCTTGGACTGCAAGGCAATCAAACCAGTCAGCCCTAGAGGAGATCAACCCTGACTGCTCTTTAGGAGGCCAGATCCTGAAGAAGAGACTCAAATACTTTGGCCACCTAATGAGAAGGAAGGACTCACTGGAGAAAAGCCTCATGCTGGGAACGATTGAGACAAAAGAAAGGAACGACAGAGAAAGAGGTGGCTGGATGGAGTCACTGAAGCAGTAGGTGTGAGCTTTTTTTTCCAAGCGAAGTTTTTTGTTTTGTTACATACTTAAAACTTCTTTATAAATGAAGTGTTGTCCAGGTTTTCCCCTCTTTACATCTTCTAATTATACATTTTACATTTACAAGATGTACTTTTTACATCTTTTTTCCATTTTCCATTTCAGTCATCTTCATTCCATAATCTCCTGCTTAATATGAATATCTTCTTAATATATTGACATTATTTGCCTCAAGTTAATAACATTTAACATATCATTTCCATCTATTATTCTGTTTTACTGTTAATAACATCCTCAAATTTAATTTTGTATATTAAACATTTCATTTGATTAGTTATCAGCGTGAGCTCCAGATGATGGTAGAGGACAGGAAGGCCTGGAGGAACGTTGTCCATGGGGTCGCAACTAACAACAAATCTTGGCAACTTTAAGACTTGTGGACTTCAACTCCCAGAATTCCTCAGCAAAGCTGGCTGAGGAATTCTGGGAATTGAAGTCCAGAGGTCTTAAAGTTGCCAAGGTTGGAGACCCGTTCTAGAGGAACCCTTGAACGAAGGTGTTTCTCTCAGAGTCCGTGGTTGCCTAGCGGCCGTTGTCACGAAAAACTTCCCGCGGCGGCGACGGCTGTTCCATTTTGACTGAGGGAAAACAAGGCGCGTGAGCGAAGGTCTCTCTCTCTCTCTCTCTCTCTGCGCATGCGGACTATCGGAGAGAGAGAGAGCGCGCCGGGAGGGGGGTCCGGCGACGCCAGCCGAGAGCAGCTGCAAGCGGCGTCCTCCGCGAAGGCAGCGTCGAGAGTGGGCAAATGGCGGCGGCGGCGGCGGCCGAGTGGGCCTCACTGTGCGAGACTTTCCACAGCGCCCTCAACCTCTCCTACGTGGAGTCCAAGAAGGACCCGGACACCGAGCCCTACCGCTCCAAATACGGCGCGCGGGAGCTGCTCGAAGGCCTGAAGCAGCTGCTGGGCGCCGGGGAAGCCGAAGGCGCTCGCGGCCCTGGCCAGGAGGAGGAGGATGAGGAGGCGTCGGCCGAGGGCGAGCAGCGGCTCCGCGCGGTGCGCCTGGCCGTGGTGGAATACGAGCTGGGAGTGAACCACACCGATACCCAGGAGTGCTCCGCCGGCGAGGAGCACCTGGTCAAGTGCCTGCAGCTGCTGGAGCGACACCGCCTGTCCCGCGACTGCGTCTCCCTCTACATCCAAGCCCAGGTGCGGGAAGGACCCCCCCCCCACCTCAAGCAGGATCCTGCCTTGCCCGCCCGCCCGCTTAGAGCGGATGGGAGCGTCCCCCGGCACATCTGGGGGAGGCCGCCAAGGATGGGAGGCAGGGGCTGATAGGAGATAGGATAGAGGAGAGGAGATGGGATAGGAGAGGAGATAGAATATAGGATAGGACAGGATAGAGGATAAGAGGATAGGGCAGAGGATAGGATATAGGATTGGATAGGATAAAGAATAGGAGAGGATTATTGGCCAAGTGTGATTTGGCACTTAAGGAATTTGTCTTTGGTGCATATGCTGTCAGTGTACATAAAAGAAAAGATACATCCATCAAGAATCATAAGGTACAACACTTAATGATAGTCATAGGGTAACAAATAAGCAATCAGGAAACAATAAAAAGCCACATAAATAGTAAGGATACAAGTAACAAAGTTACAGTCCTGCAGTCATAAGGGGGAGGAGATGGGTGATAGGAACGATGAGAAGACTAATAGTAATAGCAAAACAGCCTTAGTGAATACTTTGACAGGGGTGATGGAATTAGTTGTTTAGCAGAGTGATGGTGTTGCTTCATTTGGGGGCAAGGGTGCTAGGATTGGGGAGGGAGCACAGCATCCAATATACGGTAAGACAGGGATGGAAATGTTGCATTCTGCAAGCTTTTTCCCTTAGCCAGCCAGCTCGGGTCCAGGAACTTGGGCTGCTTTGACATGTATCGACTAGCTCTCAGAATTTCCCAGTGAGTGGAGTTTTTGAAGTCAGAAGTCCTGTTTGGAGGCAGGGCTGTCTGGTTCACCGACAAATGCGCGCTCGACAAAAGCGCACTGAGAAAACTGTGGCGAGAAAACAGCGAGGATAAAATCACGCCCACAGAAGTGTGCCGATAAATGCGCGCCGACGAAAGCGCGCCATCAAGAGCAATGCAAAAACAACATAATACCCTAACCCTAAACCTAACCCTTACCTTAACCCTAATCGCGCTTTTGTCGGCGCGCATTTATCGGCACGCTTCTGTGGGTGCGATTTTGTCCTCACTGTTTTCTCGCCGCGGTTTTGTTAGCGCGCTTTTGACATGCGCGCATTTGACGGGTCATGCGGCTGTCTTAACAGCATGATGGCCCCCCTGGCAAAGCAGTGTATACTGGAACACCTATGACAACTACTCCCAGGAATAAAAAATGTAAATGGTCGATAAAATCAAATCTGCATTTGCATGTTAGTATTAATTAAAAAGGAACATAGTGGCTCAGTGGCTAAGATGCTGAGCTTGTCAGTCAGAAAAGTTGGCACTTCAGCGGTTTGAATCCCTAGCGCCGGGTAATGGAGTGTGCTCCTGTTACTTGTCCCAGCTTCTGCCAACCTAGCAGTTCGACAGCAGGTAAAAATGCAAGTAGAAAAATAGGAACCACCTTTGGAGCGAAGGCAACAGCGCTCTGTGCTCCTTCGCGTTTAGTCATGCCGGCCACATGACCACGGAGACGTCTTCAGACAGCGGTTGCTCTTCGGCTTTGAAACAGATATGAGCACTGCCCTCTAGAGTCGGGAACGACTAACACATATTTACGAGGGGAACCTTTACCTATTAATTTTAAAACATGCAGTAAAATGTAATAAACATGTTGCTGTATTTCTATGATGCAAGGTGCATTGAAGGGTTAACATACACAGATTAGTATTGGGCCCCTATGCTCATGGGGCCCACAGGCAACTGCCCATCAGGCAGTCCTGTATGGAGGAGTGTGTTGAGAACGCTGTGTTAGCTCTTACATGTTTGTGTATTTTCGAATAGTAAAAGAAAATACTGAGTTGATAAAAGGCCCCTCTGAACAGTGATGCAAAATTCTGAGAGTTGGGTAATAAGGCTTTAGTCTGTATTGAGCTGGTAAAAGCAGAATATTGCAATGTGGATGGTGTTTCAGTGTTCACAGGCCTATTGTTTTCAGCGTTTTAGTGATCTGTTGCAAGCTTTGATCAGACTGCAGTATTGCCTTGATCAATTCCTCAAAGTGGCTACCCTGTGGGGATAAGCTTTGGAATTTGCTTAATAAGAGACCCAGTGAAACGCAGTGGCTCCTTTGCATGTTTCACAAATCAGAATAAGAACTTTACCATTTAATGATTAGAATGATTTTTCTCTACTTCATACTGGAAGCCTGCAAAAGAAATATCTATTCTAGGCGACAGAAGGGTTTGGGGATGGGTGGGTGGGTGGGTGGGAATGGTATCAGTCTAGCATGCTGTGTCTCTTTGCTGTCATCAATTCTGTGTTTCTGATAGTCATCAAGGAAGTTCAGCTGTTCTATCTAGCATACAGGCAATAGACTGGTCCATAAGGGAGCTAGTATATACTGCTCTGTTGGAAGTGAGCATCATTTCCATCCACAGCTTAGGAATATCCTGTGCTGTTGAAGGCAGAGTTGAATGCCTGTTCAGTTATTCACAGGGTCATTCTGGGAAGTCAGGAATTTTACATTACATTCTTAAAAATTCCTTTATTTCCTGCCAAATAACATTGAACAATAAGGAACCATAGTTAGTAACATCCTGCTTAAATTATGCCTTCAACTATCCAATATTTTCTTTAAAATTATAGAATTGAAAATAATTATCTGATGCAATATTTTAAATAATTTTTACTGCTCCTAGTAGGTAAAATTGATATCAAATACAGCTTGTTTCCTAGGAGTTTCTCCTGAATAAAGCATGAAATGTTTCCAGTACTTGAAATGATTCTAATATTTCTGTTTAAAGGTAAACGTAAAGGTTCTCCTTGCACATATGTGCTAGCCGTTCCCGACTCTGGTGAATTTCTGTTTAGTGCAGTTCATATAGTACTTGTTTCTGAAATGATCCCCATATTACTCCTATGTAATTTCAGTTTCAGGTTATCTATTTTGTGCCATTTATCATTTAAAAAAATAACCCACTTGTTCATGTTTTGTAGAATAATCTGGGTATCCTCTGGTCAGAAAGAAATGACATTAAAACAGCACAGACTTATCTGGAATCTGCAGAGGCTTTATATAACCAGTACATGAAAGAGGTAATACGTGAATCAGTTTACTTCATAATTTTGTGGTATTCCTTGGCTACTTATGTGGATGATTGAGTTTTCTGGAAAAAATGCGCGCAAAGATTTTTAAAGGTTTTCCTCTTATGTGTCATGATTTTGAAAATTGATAGCTAAATGTACCTGAGATATCAAATGTTGCAATTGCAAAAAAAATATTGATGTTTAAACATCGGTGCAAAAATTGCTTAGAATATTAGTGTCCATGCAACATTAAATTGCATTAACATTTTAAACATTTTAGCTATTAAAGCATTTCCAAAACAATCTTACCATTACTTCTGTTAGTTTTACCAGTTGTATTGAAATATTCCAGTAAGAGTATTGTTGTGTGGCTATAATGCTACAAAGAACAATCAAATTTCATTGTTTTTTTATAAAGCACTTTGTAATGGGGGCCAAATTCACCATGCATTACAATCAGCTGATTTTGTTATATTGTTACATTTAGCACAATGGATCTATTGTTATAGCCATCTTTGGCTCTATTTATATCTGCAGCTACCCCAGGAGACATCTTCAGACATATTTTAATGAATTATAGCAGAAAATTGGTGAATGAATGCATATGAATGTAGAAAATATTTCACTTGGTTTGTGTTATTGTTCAGGTCTTATGTAACTGAATTTTCTTTCAACTAGGAGTAACACGCCAGTTCTTCAAATACAATTTTAATGGGTTCTTTGCCAGGCTTCATCTTTTACATGAGTTTACTCATTAGTGGTCTTTACCATACCAGATCTGTTATTATCTTTATGTCATTCCACTCCATAGAAGTGTATCCAAGTTCTACAGGATCATATCTGATTGGATGCTCCCTAATAGAGGTTAAAAAAAGCATTCCATTTGGACCTTTCTGTTTTTCTTTTAATTTAGAAATGTTCGGCCTGCCTTTCATTCTGAGGGATTACCAAACCGTGTACTGTAATACAAATTACTGTATTTTTTGGAGTATAAGACACACCTTTTCCCCTCCAAAAAAGAGGGTGAAAATCTGGGTGCGTCTTGTACACTGAATACAGCATTTTTGACCTCCCGAAACCCCACCCCCTTCACAAAAATGGACATGCATGGGCTTTGGGAGGCCTGCAAAGTGCTCCTATAGGCTGGGGAGGGCAAAAATGAGCGAAAAATGGGCCATTTTTGTCCCCTCACCAACTCCAGGAGCACTCTACAAGCCTCCCAAAGCCTATGCATGCCGTGTTTTTTGAAAAAAACAGGCCTGTTTTCGCGAAACATTGCCGTTTTTGCTCATTTTTGCCTTGCCAGCCCCCAGGAGTACTTTGCAGGCCTCTCAAACTCTCTGCATGCCCCATTTTTCACAAAAAACGAGGCATGCAGAGGGTTTGGGAGCCCTGCAGAGTGCAAAAATCTTTTTTTTAATTTACCACTTCAAAATCTTGGTGCGTTTTATACTCCGGTGCGTCTTATAGTCCAAAAAATACAGTATGTTACTCAACTCATTAGTACAGGTGATCCTAGACTTAACAACAAAGTTGTTCAAAGTTACAATGGCATTGAAAAAATGACCTACTATTTGTTTTTCACACTTATGACCGATGCAGCATCCCCATAGTATGTAATCAAAATTCAGATGTTTGACAACTGACTCATATTTATGAGTGTCCTGGCATCATGTGTTCATCTTTTGGGACTTGGCAAAATCAATGGGGAAGCCAGATTCATCTTACAACCTTGTTACGTACTTAACTACAGTGATACACCAGTTTTTAAGTTATTTATTTTTATTACCTTAAGTACTTAAGGGCAGAAAAGGTCATGTGCATATTGATATCTCTGGGCACTAGATTACCTGTCCTTGGTTTAAAAATGTTTCCTTTCTATCAGTTCTCTTTCGTTGGAATAAGGAAGATGGAATATATGTTAAACCTATGTGATTAGCAGTGTATGCTATGCAATAAAGCTCAGTGATCTGGATGTGTAGTAGAGCCAGTTTTGTTATTTTTATGTCTCTTTTTTTTAATTGCTTTGTGTTTTGGTTAGTGCCCTTAACTATTGTTAGCTGCCCAGGGTCATGAATTTGAGATGGGCCGTCATATAAATTGAAATAATTTTTTAAGGAGAAACAATTGAATTGTCTGTCTTTTCTGCTATTTCATTTTGTTTATACGTTTGGAGTGATTCCTTGGAGCAGGGGTGTCAAGGTTTGGGGGATGGATCCGGTCCTCCAGAATGCTTAGATCTGGCCTGCGGCGCCACCCTGGAAACACTGAAGGACTAGCCCGCGGTGCCTCTGCCAGCAAAGACAGAACTTGGGAGGGCTGCATGCAGCCCTCCTGTGCTCCATTTTCACTGGCAGAGGGTTGCAGGAGGCCATTGCAGCCGAAAACAGCGCTTGGGAGCTTGTTGTCACTAGCAAAGTGCTCAGGCCACCACAGGCGTCCCTTACACGAGTGATGTCGATCTGGCCACATCCATCCTGGCCACGTCTATCCCCCTCCCACCCACCCACGAGTTCAAACACAACCCTGATGCGGCCCTCAGTGAAATGGAGGTTGACACCTCTGCCTTAGAGTGTATCCTAGTTCTAAACAGGTTTTGCCGTAGTACCCCAATGCAGCCAGCAGAGTGAGCACAAGTTTGCTGTATGTTACCTTCAGCACATGCTGTGTTTTGCAGAATGGGAATCCTCCACTTGATTCCAGCGAGCATTTCATGATGGAAGAGAAACACTCAGACCAAGAGCGATCAAAAAGGTGGGTGAGTTAAAAAATGAAATGGAAATTGGTGAAAGAGTTTATTTTGTATCATTAAAACTAAGACGTTGTTTCTCCAGGTTTGAGAAAGTGTATACTCATACACTGTATTATCTGGCCCAAGTCTACCAACACCTGGAAATGACTGAAAAAGCTGCCCAGTATTGCCACACCACTCTCAAACGGCAGCTTGAGTATAGTGGCTACTACCCAATAGAATGGGCTCTCAATGCAGCCATTTTGTCTCAATATTATCTCACCAAGGTAATTATTTCAGTATTTTCTTCTGTGTATCTTATTTGTTAAATCAAAATATTAAAAGGATTATTGGCAGGCATTAGATTCCCGCATGGACTCACCTGGTTGAACTGGATTGCTGTTAAAATTATTTTGTCAAGCAAATAGATCTGACATTGATTTTCAGTTACATAACTTGTTTTCCTACATTTTGATCAAAGCTGAGTCAATAATGCATAATAATTAGACATATTATAAGAGTAGCTATGAAATCTCAAAATAATACTGTTTAATTGACAAATATTAAAGAATATATCAGTGTAGTGAGCTTTATTTTAAGACTACGATATAAAATAGATGTACATATTTATGTTCACATACCCTTGCACACAGATCAGTAAAATATTGCTACAGAAATTATCTTAAATATTAGGATTCGGGCAGCATGTTTATCTCCCAAAAGGTAGAGATGGGAACTAGAGGATTTAATTCTTACTGACAGAGATGAAATAATAGTATTTTCCAACTCTCTTATTCTGTATACTGTTATATACACTTCCCTTGACAAAAATAACTGCAAGTTGCCTATGTTCACATATGGTGCCCCTTGTATGATGCCCCAAGACATGCTTTGATTGCACCAAACATTTCCAAATAAGAGGGCCATGCAGATTTTATGTATTATTTTTAAGGGACACTTACAAATCAGGTGGCCAATTTTTTTACCATGTCAAACAGCTGTGCAATTTTTTTTTAAGTGGACATGCTGTTTTAATCTCATTATGTTTTCCATTTCTTGAGAACTAATTGTTGTTATTAAACCATTATTTTACTGTACTTTTTATTATAAAGGCTGGTCAAAGACTAATCAAAAAACATAATAAAGATATTTGGCAAAACGTGCAATGCCTTTTTAGAGTCTCTGGGTTTTATATAAGTGAAAGTTATATTCAATAATGTCTTAAGTAGCAAAAAATTGATGGTGACAAGCATATAAATACTTCTTCATTTTTGAATGATGTTCTTTTTTGGAACAATTTTTATACAGGCAAAATTTTATTTGCTGTCTGATTTTTCAGCTATAAGGTTAAGCAACATCATAGGTCATCTAATTTCAGAACACTAACATTAAAGTATTTTAACTGAAATCTAGGATTGTATTATGGTCCCAAAACAAGCACCATTATATCATTTCCCTACAGCAATGTTTCATGGAATCCAGGCATTGTTTAGCAGCTGCCAGTGTCATCATTGGCGAAGCTGGACATATGCCATCTGCAGAAGACAGTAAGTATCCTCATTCCAGTTTTAACTGGGGTGATATTGATTTTGGCTTAGTGTCAGTGCTAAATGCCTTGCTTTCTTTTCTTGACTCCAGCCATTGTTCCCCTTCATCTTTGTCTCATTCAATCAGTTTCACCATCAAGTTGATTTTTGTAACATTAAAATGAGGGTTCAGTTGAGGGGGAAAAAAGTATAAATATCTCCTTTTAGCAAACTAGAATTTCTTCAGATAGCTTATAAATGTTTCTGCCCCTACTGTTTCTCTTGCATCAGCCAGTAGGAGTAAAAACGGTCAGAGAGAAAAATAGCAGCTTGAGAGGAAATTTCACCATGAGCCAGACGTACTCTTCTAGCAGCCATTTCCTCTAAAATCTACCCTGGCCCAGAAATTAATTAACAGGAAAGTGAAGTGAGGGAAAACTTACACTGTGTATGCTTTTGGCTATCCCTAGTAATTTTTACATTATTTTAAATATTCAGGTACATTGAGAAAGTTGGTTATAAGTACTCCAAATAAGACTTTATTTTCATTGTTATGCTTATATCATTGTGAAGGTTTTGGTATGGATTTAGGCTACTGCCATGCCAATGCTAAGGGGAAAATGGCTTTGCTATTTTGCCTTTAGGCAGAAGGAAGGAAGAAAACATTTGATAGGTTCCTTTATTAATGTAATTTATATTTGCAATACACTCTGCTCGTTTTATGTATTATTTTTACTTGGAGGGTTGATATAGAAATTGATTTAAATTATTTTAATCCTATTAGGAAAACTACTTTTCCCGAAAATAAGATAGGGTCTTATTTCCTTTTGACCCCTGAAATAAGCGCTTGGCCTTATTTTTGGGAAGGTCTTATTATTTTTGAGGTACAGGAGGCCCCTTAACCTCGGCCCATGGCCTGCGGATCAGCTGATCCAAAGAGGGCCAGATGTTCTGTCTCTATTTCTGCCACTAAGAGAAAGGGCATGGTAGCGAGGGTTTGCAGGAGCGGCCTCTGCAAGGCTGTTCTGTGTGGATGGCAGGTGCATGTGGGGTGCATGTTGCCTTCCCCCCCCCCCCAGGAAATGACAGGGACCAGCAGCACATGCATTTAAATATTCTAGGGGAGGGCTTATTTTAGCACATGCGCTCAAAAACCTCGATTGAGCTTATTATCCAGGGAGGTCTTATCTTCAGGGAAACAGGTTATGTTTCACTTCTAAATTGTGTTTATATCCTGCCTTTCCCAAATGGAAATTCACAGAGCCAAGGAAGTGTCATGAAATTGATCAATGTCAGTATATGGAATAGTTTCAGAATCAGATTTTGGCTATATAATCGGCTATTAATATAGCTATTAAGAATGAAAGTTGGGATTTTGAAATGTTCTTTTCTGAGAAAACTCTTCCAGGTCTAACTGGAGGGGGCCAGCTTAACGCATGTTATATTTTTAAAATCAGACGAATCCGAACAAGACCAGCAAGATCTTCGACAGAAAAAAGCTGAAATTGCAAGGTGTTGGATTAAATACTGTTTGAACCTGTTACAGGAAGCCCGAAAGCTGCTTGAGGTATGCAAGGGACCATATGTAAATAACTGTCATTTGTTGCTGTTTACTTTTGTAACTATAAACCTAAATAATTATACATCTCCTACTGAAACCGAAGCCTTAAGAGAGAAGGAGCCTATTTCATCCTAGCCCTACATTACTTTAAGACTAATTTTCAGTAGCAGTTCTGTATCAATAACTGGATCAGGACAAAGGGGCAAAAATGTGAACGTAGAATTCATTTTTTCTCATATATAGCAATAGCACTTAGACTTACATACCTATTCATAGTGCTTTTACAGCCCTCTCTAAGCAGTTTAGAGAGTTAGCCTATTTGCCCCTAACAATCGGGCTCCTCATTTTACCCACCTCGGAAGGAGGGAAGGCTGAATCAACCTTGAGCCTGGTGAGATTTGAACTGTTGAACTGCAGCTAGCAGTCAACTGAAGTAGCTTGCACTCTAATCACTGCGCTACCTCGGCTCCCTATGAAGCAATTCTCATATCTTACATGCATATTAATTTACTCCTGCCATTAAGCATGGTACAAACATCTCATTCAAAACTCTTCCCCACCACCAAGCAGCAGTAGACGACGTTACAAAAAATGCTGTGGGATAAGATATCAGTGGAGCAGAAGTGAATGTTAGGGTTTTAAAAAAAGGGGGGGAATCCTATGAGTTTTCTTGAGGGGCCTAATTTCTCAGGCAGACGATAAGAAGGGGAGGCTATGGGGCAGTTTTGGATGCTTGTAAGCCACAAATTGCTCATCCTCGAGGTATCTGCTACATCTCCAAAGATAGGAACTAGTTAGGTTCTGGAAATTAAGTGTGGCATATAACAGCATACACAGGCTTCTGTTTCCGTAACAAACTCTTAATTGTGTGTCTATCAACTATAAGTACAAAAAAGGCAGCATCAGGTACACTTAAAAGAAAAATATACGAATGTGTGATGGTAGTTTTTGCCCATTCTACTACTTTTGAGTTTAAAGAGATGTTTTAAATAATTTTTGCTTTCAGCTTAATAATTAGTCACAGTTTCTTCATAGAATATTATGCTTGGCTGTTTCTGTGTCTAAATATGCATCTAGAAATTGAAAAAAAAATCCTTGTGCAGAACCAAAGGGCTGCGAGATTGTTGAACTGTACTATGTGCATCTAAAGCAGCAAATTGCTTTTAGCAAAAGTACTGCTTTCTTATTAAAGAATTGGCTGTGTTTGTATAGAACGGTAATGCAATCATTACCATAGTAACTCACACTGCTTGGATTGTTTTGCTGGCACCTCCTGATAGCAGGCATGGCCAACAACCGCTCCCTCTGTGATTTGTTTCCCAAGTCAGATAAAAAAAGAGTTTAGGATTATTTCTGTTGAAGGATTGGAAAAGGATCATATTTGAATATCTAGCACACACAACACAATAAATAAATCATGGCCTTAGGTGGAATCAGGGCACAACCAAATCAGCAGGCATTAAGCAGGACTCATTCATAGTGGTCTGTTAATTTCTTTTCAAGCAGAATGTATACTTGTCAGGCTACCAAAATATATTTCCAGGTATCTTGGCAGATGTGAATAAGTCAGCCTTTCACAAACATTCGCATAAACTGCAAGTGTGAAGTGTACTGCTTTACGAGACTTTCCTTTAGATATAATTCTCCTATTTTAGTTGTGATATACGTTATTCGAGTGAAGTCTGAGAAACTAGTTTGTAATACATAAAGTATTGTTGCAAAGCTTAGCTGTAGAGTTTCAAATTGCAAATGAAAAGATAGGAAACTCTTTATGGGGAAAAGATGAAAAAAATGTTGGAACTGGTCTCATTGAAATTATAAACAATTGGAGTGGTCTTTGTTGTACTAAGAACTTAGAACTGTCCTTATGTAAGGAATTAATTCTGTGACATTCAAGCCATTGTTTAAAAATCAATTCTGCTGATTTTTAGGACAATATTGGTGAGCTGGATCCAGACAGGCAAGTGGAACTGAAAGCCCAGCAGGAAAAAGAGGAGGATGAGAAGGAAAAAGAAAGAAAAAAGGCTGTTCTTTTTGGAACGAGTGATTTGTGTGATTCTATTTTGGCCATGGAAGAGAAAGTGAGTTGTGTGTTTCCATTAGACTTCAAAGAAGCCCGAGAAGTCTTCTTAGTAGGTCAGAACTATGTCAATGAAGCCAAAGAGTTCTTTCAGGTAGATGGGTATGTCACGGATCACATTGAAATTATCCAAGACCACAGTGCTTTATTTAAAGTGCTGGCTTTCTTTGAAGATGATTTTGAGAGGCGTTGCAAGATGCATAAGCGTAGGATCGATATGCTGGAGCCACTGTACTCCGGCTTAAATCCTCAGTATTATCTGCTACTCACTAGACAACTTCAGTTTGAATTGGCAGATACCTATTATGAGATGATGGATTTAAAAGTGGCCATTGGCAATAAACTAGAAGAGCTTGACTCCCACACAGTCAAGAAAATAAATTCGTTGGCTCAGATGGCCATGAAATTCTATGAGCTCTTCTTAGATTCACTGAGGAACCCTGATAAGATCTTCCCAGAGATCCTTGAGGAAGATGTCCTACGCCCTGCAATGGTGGCCAAATTCCATATTGCACGCCTTTATGGCAAGCTTATCACTGCAGATGGCAAAAAGCAGCTGGAGAATATGCAGTCCTCCTTGGAATATTACTCATTTCTAGTGGATTATTGTGAGAAGCACACAGATGCGGTCCAAGCTATTGAAACTGAGCTAGAACTGAGTAGAGAAATGGTTGATCTTCTTCCAACCAGAATGGAAAGGCTAAAAGCAAAGCTTTTAACTTCCACATAACTTCTTTTCTCTCCATGGCAGTGTGCAATATTAATATGTCTGTCTAAAAAGAGAGTGTCCCTTAACGGCAGTTTCTTTGTAATAATTGAACAACTTTCCTTTCAAATGCCTGCTGTGACAGGCAGCATGGAACCTATTTCAGACTGAAAACTGTCCAGTGTAGTTGCTCTCCCATACTTCAATATTAAATATACAGTGAGTGGTCAACTGATGCTCTGTACTATTTGCACCCTTCTGACATGCGAGCCTTCCTGCCTTATATTTTTCTCCTGCACTGCATGGCCAGTTTCCAGCTGCAGTGTTGCTTTCCAGCTGTTTCCTATACTAGGGAACGTTTTGTACAGTCCTAGCTATCAGCATAACTTAGGCACTTGGCTGTGTGGCACTGATCCAGATTTAGATTTAAGATTTTTGTTAACAAATCACTAATTTAATTGTGTCATTTTTGTATATGTTGTCCTTCTATCCCCTTTTAGAGGAATCCGTAAATAAACATACTTGATGGCAAAAATCTCTTGGCATCTTTTGTATGCGAATTAATCTGTTCACAGCAGTGGAAACTCTTAATTTCTTCTTCTTTTTTAAATATTCTCTTCAGCTATAGGTTGGGGGCTTTTTTCACTGCACCCTAAATTTTACAAATGTTCATTTGTTTTCATTTTGCATAATCCTAGTCATGGGAAAGATATTTAAAGCAGGAGGAAGAGAGAAATTGATTGGGGGAAAAACCTCAACTTAATTCCTCAGGAATCTCATTTTTTAAATTGATAAATTAAAAAACCCTCCCAATACTGTGGGGAGACAAGCGGGGTATAGAGTTTTGCTTTGTGTAGCAATGTAACATTTCAAGTTAAGATGTTTCCCACATATTTAAAACCTCTTCTGTACATTAAAAGTGATATATACTCCAATTCTCTAGCAATTGAAATTAGTGCTCAAGTGTACATTGCATAGATGTCTGAATGTGCTAAAGTTAAAAGTAATAGATTCTTAGCCCATAATGCAAACATCCTGGAGATATATAAAATCTTCATTAACTCTAATATAGATGGGCTGGAAAGTTCTATTAGAGAAAGAGAAGGAGAAACAGATTTCCCTAGCCACCTGCTTCAGTGCTACAGGGCAAGAGGTGGCAAGTTATCTCATTTCATATCTGTATTGCTAACTAGGGCATACAAAATCTTTGCCAGACCAATTCTTGAATACAGCTCGTTCACCTGGAACCCACGCTGTATATCAGACATTAACATGATTGAGCGGGTCCAGAGGTATTTCACGAGATACCTCTACTCACAATAGAATTCCCTATGGCATCAGGCTTGAAATTTTGGGCTTGGACAATCTGGAACTGAACTGCCTGTGGTTCGATCTAAGCATAGTGCAGAAAATTGTCTGCTATAATACCTTGCCTGTCAACGACGTCTTCAGCTTCAAGCACAATAAAACAATACAACTCAAGGTAAACGGCTTCAAACTCGATTGCAGAAAATACAACTTCAGAAAAAAAAGGAACAGATTATAGAAGACCTATTTCCCCACGTATCATATCTCCTATTTTGCAAAATAGACTGATCTTTCAAAAAAAAATTTTTTTAAAGAAAAGAATATAAAAATCTTGTTTGCAGACGGAAACAAAAGCAGATGACAATACAGATTTGTTACAAATGATAACTAACAATGCAAAAGGTTGTTCCATAGAGAAATATAAAGGAGACTCCAAGGCTCTGGCAGGCCATGAGTTACTGCTCATCTGCTCCTACATTATGGAGGATGTTATAAAGAGTTTCTAAGTTGTATAAAACAAAGTGCTAGTACTGAGAACGTGCGGGGGGGAGGCAATATATTAGCGGTAGATGTTACACGAGAATAAAAGAAACCAACCCTTCCCACCAAGGGGCAGACCAATCAAACTGTTTTTTACACACACACACACAAACACACACACACACACACACAAATACAGACAGCTTCCTAGCCCAGCAAGGAAGATCTATCTTCATAGTCTTCTGATGGCTAAAATAGTAAGCCAAGTCAATTAATTCTGAGACTGCTGTGAAGATGGAACAAACCACTGGTGAAATGTATTTTTTTTTTTGCCACCGGTTCTTTGGGCGTGGCTTGGTGAGGGGGTCATGTGGCTGGGTGGGCGTGGCCAACGTTTTTAATTTTTAAAGCATTTTTTACTACTTATTCACCCAAATCGGTAGTAAAAAATGCTTTAAGAAGTGGAGGGGGGAGAAGGTTCAGCTATGCCATGCGTTCGTGGGAACCTTTTTTTTCACTTTTTAAAGCATTTTTTCACTACAGGTTCAGGCTAATAGGTGGTAAAAAAAAATCTTCAAAAAGTGGGAAAAAGGATTTGGCATTTTTATCTGCCAACTGAGCCCTTTCTAAGGACTTGAGATAGGTAGATGTGGTTGTTTGAGGGTATAGATGATTAGGGGATTGGAGACTAAAATATACAATGAACGGTTGCAGGAACTGGGCATGGCTAGTCTAGAGAAGAGAAGGATCAGGGGAGACACGATAGCAGTCTTCTAATATTTCATGGGCTGCCACAGAGAGGGAAGGGGTCAAGCTATTTTCCAAAGCACCTGAAGGCCAGACAAGGAATAATGGATGGAAACTGAACAAGGAGAGAGTCAACTTGGAAATAAGGAGAACTTTCTGACAGAGCAATCAACAGAACAGAAGTTGCCTTCAGAAGTTGTGGAGGCTTCATCACTGGGGGCTTTCAAGAAGAGATTGGACTGCCATCTGTCAGAAATGGTGTAGGGTCTCCTGCTTGGGCGGGAGGTTGGACTAGATGTCTTACAAAGTCCCTTCCAACTCTGTTAATCTGTTAAAGTTCCATATATAACCCATTAACCAGATCTTAACAGTCCCCAGTGAATCAACACTGAGCTGATTTTGTGCCTCTTTCAGAACTTGCAAATGGTCTGCACTTATAAATGTGTAGAGTATATCTCAAAACAACGAACAGCTACTTTACATTTAGTTTCTCCGCATAGTAGCATAAATAGATTCTAGCATGTTGTTTGCCACTTCCTGTTTGCTCACACTATTCCTCAGTAGATAAATGTGATAGTTTATCAGGCATAACAACTTGCACTTCTTGTCAATCAAAAGATCTATCAATATTTGAGGCCAGATATGACATCTGTTGTGGGGGGAAAATTTTTGACTTTAAAGCGTTTAATATTCTTTTATTAATTTTTTCCAATTTTTTTTATTTTTGGGTCAGCTACGTGCACAGTTTTATTGACTTTCTAATAAACAAGTGGCATTTTGAAGAAGAAAAGCTTTTGATCCACTGCATCATTTCCATTGGTGGAACAGGAAAGAAGAAAATTTACCAAATCACAATTTTCCTTTGACTTCATTTTTTTAGATACAATTAAAAGGTTTAAATTTCAGCTATGATGGAAAGATGAACACAAATCTGTGGTATACAGTTAACAGTTAGCTTCCTCCCATAATTGGGGCTTACCAGGGGTTGTAAAAATCTAATAGATACCTTTCACCCTGGCTTCGCTGATAACGGATATATATATGATATATGATATATATATATATGTGTGTGTGTGTGTTTTATTTGTGCTGATAAATAAATAAAGGGAGACTAGCATAGATCATATACTAGCATATACTACTGATCTATACTAGTCTCCCTTTAT